CAGCCTTAAATCCAAAGAGTGTCAGTGGTCATTGGTTGCAGTTTCAGACCACTCGTGGTGGTTGTGCTTCTTAAGTCCAAAGAAGGGGTGTAGTCATATAGAAGCTTTTAGCTATAATAAACCACCACAAATATCTTCTCTTTGCACGTTTTGATTTAAACTATCCACTGGCAAACCGTACCTAATCCAGACATGAGGATTTCCTGCTGCTTAGGGAAACCTCCCCGTTTAGGCACCTAAAAGCTCACCAAGGCTGCTGTGCCCATGGAGAAACCCCTGACGTGGCAACCCGCTGCCAGAGAGGCACCACCACGAGCGGCCTTCCCAGCCAGGCAGGAATAGCACGTCCCAGCCATTTTTAGGCCTGTCCCAGCCATTTTTGGGTGTCACTCTGGTGACAGGCACGGAGCCCGCAGCAGATCGAGGCTGGCAGGGGCTGTTGTGGCTCCTGCTCAGAGGAGAACAGTGCCAGGAGCCTGGATCACAGCATCCCTGGCAGTGCCCAGGGCCACAGCTCAACATGTGTGAAGCCAGCTCCACACAAAGACAGGGCACTATGCAGAAACAGAAGGACATTTTTTAAAAATAACTATTCAGGAAGGAGTTCAGGTCGCTCTGGCTCACCTTCAGAGGCAAAAAGAGGCAGGAACTCAAAACCCTTTATTCACCTTTTTTGGGCTTTATTTTTTCCTATATTTTTCTACTTCTGCATGGCCAGTAAACAATATAGTAACATACTGAATCTGGAAACTAATGCGATGCAGGCATTTCAGATATCTGAGCGCAGAAGTTACAGCTTTAAATTCCATGTTCCAATGCAGCAGGCACATTATTTCTACATGGGCACCCATGACAAATCCATCCCATTTTATTAGTGAAACATTTGCAAAACAACCTTTTTATCCATCACAAGTCAGTTGCAATTAAGAGACTCATCATTTGTGTTCATGGCAGCTCAGGGCTTCAGGATTAATTCCAGAGCATTACTTCAGACCCTTAAACGTTGCAGACACCAACACCCAGGAGAGCCCCCGATTTAGCAGCTCCTCAAATGAGGTGAATCACCTGGAAACTAATGCGATGCAGGCATTTCAGATATCTGAGCGCAGAAGTTACAGCTTTAAATTCCATGTTCCAATGCAGCAGGCACATTATTTCTACATGGGCACCCATGACAAATCCATCCCATTTTATTAGTGAAACATTTGCAAAACAACCTTTTTATCCATCACATGGATACAAGTCAGTTGCAATTAAGAGACTCATCATTTGTGTTCATGGCAGCTCAGGGCTTCAGGATTAATTCCAGAGCATTACTTCAGACCCTTAAACGTTGCAGACACCAACACCCAGGAGAGCCCCCCATTTAGCAGCTCCTCAAATGAGAGGTAAGTTTGGCAGAATCAAAACACAACCCCAAAGGCACCTAAAACTGCACTGTTGTAACAGCACACATTTTACTAAAAAAAACCCAAGTATTGCTTCTCTTTGCATGGACACAAACTCACAGGCTCAGCACATCAGAGTGATTTTGGAGAAGAGAAGGCTCTGGGAGATATCAGAGCACCTTCCAGTGCCTCAAGGGGCTCCAAGAGGGCTGCAGAGGGCCTTTGGACAAGGGCATGGAGTGGCAGGACAAGGGGGAATGGCTTTAAACTGTCAGAGGCAGGGCTAGGTGGGATATTAGGAATAAATTCTTCCTTGTGAGGATGGGGAGGCCCTGGCACAGGTTGCCCAGAGCAGCAGTGGCTGTCCCTGGATCCCTGGAATGCCCAAGGCCAGGTAGGATGGGACCTGAGCAGCCTGGGGCAGTGGAAGGTGTCCCTGCCCATGGCAGGAGGTGGGATGGGATGAACTTTAAGGTCCCTTCCAGCCCAAACCATCCTGGGATTTTACTCCACCAGGTCAGCACCTCAGCAGGTTCAGTACATCTGGAGATTAGGATTCATAATCAGTGAGGGATTACAGCACACAGGGCCAGGTCTTGGCAGGCACCCAGGAACAAGCCTGCTTTAGAAGGTGCCTGGCCCCATGCTGGAGCCTTGTCAGAGCTGCCCCTGCCCCTCTGCACGACCAAACCATGCCCAAAACCAACCCACCACTGCTGGAAATAACAACCTGCGTGAACCAACACGGGACTCTCTCCTGGAGGCCAACGTTGAGTGCCTGGTAAAAATCTGCATCAGGAATCAACCTAAATTACTTAATTTAGACACTGGAGAGCCCAACCAGACAGTCTAGGGAGTTTGGAGTTGATTATTCTCTTTTGCTGCCTTTTACAATTTAATTACTTAACCTCTTATGGTCTCAGACACCGCAAGCCAAGAACTTTGCCTGTGAGAAAAGGTTAGCAGACTAATTATTTCTCTTATAATGGGCAAAAATGGCTTCTGGGAAAACCAGTGCAGACCCAAGGAACCCTGCACTTCTCAGGCTCACATCTGGTGCCTCCTCACTTGTATTTTGACAATTTTTACCCTTTCTACTACACTGACCTTGTGACTCTTCCCAAGAAGCCCCACCCAGGGTGTGGGGCCATAAGCTTACACCATATTCAACAACTTAAAGCAAACAAAAAATAGAACCAGAACAGAACATATAGAGTGGGAAGGTGGGAATACTCTACCAGGTCACTCCTTTCAGAAGGTCAAAGCATTCCCCAAATATGTGATCTTTTCCAGCACTTCAAGTCTAAGATTTGTATTTATCTCAAGGGAAAATCTGTGGGCATCATACACAGAGGTTAAGCCCCAAGGAAACCATGCAAGTCCAGTGAGCCATTCAGAACACATGCACAGCGCTTCACCAGCAATTAAATACTGTCCACAAGTTGGATTCACCAAATCTCTTACTCATAAGAGCAGAAGGAACACTGACGCAATCAAATTGAGAAAAATATTGTTGCAACCAGGCTGATTTTTTTAATTGGATGGATGATACATTAAAAAAATGAAGCATTACGATCACTCAATTCAACAACATCCTGCTACTGGTAAGGGTTATATTTATCAATCAGTGCATTTTCATAACAAAATGTCCTATTTCATGGCAGATCCTTCCTTCAAATGACCTCAAGAAAGTTCTGAAACCAAATCCTCCCCAAAGTGCTCTCAGCTTTGGGCCCTCATCCTGCACAGCTATCCCTACATGAATGCTGTCATTAGATGATGCACTGATTTAAAAGGACTGGCATCTTATGTAAATGGATGTTACTGCCTTTAATTGCAGCCATAATTATGGGAGTGCCTAGGAACTGAGTAAGGTCACATTAAGCAAACTTACTGGAAACTTTGCAAACTGCTCTGCAACACACTGGACGAGCACCAGGAGTCCCACAATGGGCATTTATTCAGTCCCATCTTCAGCTCTACGCAAAGCACTACAAAATCAATCCCATATATATAGGATTGCTCCAAGTTATAGCCGGTTTAGTATGTTTTTGCCTGAAATTAACTAGTTTCTGTGGCATTTGCCAATAGAAAAAGTTTAATTTAGAATTAGCGTCTTTAAAGATCGAAAAATCTTGAAGAGTCTTCAGGTTTCTTCAGTATTAATATCTTCATTGTTCCACCTCACATCTCAAAGCACCACACGAGCACCAAGGGACCTGCCACAGAGCCAACAAGGAGCCAGGTGCTGACACGAGCAGCAAGGGCGGTATGCAGTTCGCCTGGCACAGCCACAAATCCCTGCTCATGGAAGACACCAGCACAAGCATCGTGGCAATGACCAAAGGGGCAGCCGAGGGGTTTTCGTTCAGCCACAAAGCAATGGCCATCAGCACCTTCCAACAGCTGAATGGGGGTCCCCCTGCCAGCCCGAGAGGTTCTGACACCCCCGCCGCAGTGAAGCCCCTCTCCATGCCCTGGGTGGAGCCAGGCACGGAGGCAGCTGCCCGCTGGCAGGCTGGCAGAAGCAAAGGGATGGCTGGAAACAAGAGCGAGCCTGTGACTCACCGGGCAGAGCCACGGCCCCTGTGCACCCGCTGACACCCAGCTTTGTGGGGCACCGGGCACAGCGGGGTCCTGTCCCGTTACCGAGCCCGAGCACAGCACCAGACCCGAGCACAACACCAGACCCGAGCACAGCACACACCACCAGACCCGAGCACAGCACCACCAGACCCGAGCACAGCACCAGACCCGAGCACAGCACCAGACCCGAGCACAGCACCCTCGCTGCCACATCCACCTCTGCCTCCCCTCCTGCCCCACGCAGCAGCACCGCCTGCTTCATCGTCCAGCCTACGTAATACAATTTTCCTAGGAAGTGGGGGAATTATATCCAAACATAACCACGACTAAGGCCGTGGGCAGAAGTTTTGGTGCACTTGCATCACAGCTGTCACCCTGTATTACACAAAGTGCCTGGCAAACACGCCAGACCTCGGTCCTCGGGGAGAGCCAGCCCTTCCCAAGGAAGGCCCCAACGAGCCGGCAGCCAAATCTCACGAAGGAAGATAAAAAAGGTGCAGATTGTGTGCTTTTTACGGAGCTGCCCTTAGGAATAAGGGAAGAAGAGCTAACCAGTTAGATCGGTATTTGCCAAAGCACCGCTTTTACACCCTTCGTCGGCAAATGGAGAGCACCGAGCCTTGGAGGAGCGAGATGTAAACCCGCCTTCCTACAGACAGTTAAAAAAAAAAAAAAAGTCCATCACAGCACAGCAATCTCCAAAAATAACTCAGCAAGCAAACAGCTGCTACACTACGATTCCCTCTTTCCACGCCACATCTCCCAACCCTTCCTTCACCCAGGGCTGCTCCAGCAGAAGCCGCAACTCCCATTTCCCACCGGCCGAGCTTTCCGAGATGCCGGGCACCCTCACTGCTCGGTGGAACCGGGAGGGAAAATCCTGACCAGGGCTCCAGGAAAACATACATTCCCCGCTCAGCCGTGCCCTGGCCGCGCACGGCTCTCTCGGGGCCGCCCCGTGGGTGGGAAGCGGGGGGCTGGAGGGGAGAAGCGGCGGCGGGGGCCCGGGGGTCCCGGGGGTCCTACCTCGGCAGCGCCGGCCCTGCGGGCAGCGGCCGCGGCGGCGGCAGCCCCACATGGGCGGTGGGCTGGGCTCCGCTCCGCTCCGGCGGAGGCTGGCACGGAGCGCAGGGCCGCGGGGAGCCCCGCGGAGCTGCCCGCGGGTGTGCGCGCCCCGCGCGGGGCGGGGCGGGGCGGAGGGACCGGCCCCAGGCAGCCCCCGCCCGCCGGGAGCCCCCGCTCCGCCCCGCGCCGCCCGCAGCCCGAGAGGTGCTCAGGGCCTTGGGGGAGCAGCTCCCGCACCTCTGCGCGGACACGGCCGCGGAACCCCCGCACCGCCCACCCTGCACCCCCGCACCACCCACCTTGTACCCCCGCACCCTCCGCAGCGCACCCCCTGTACCGCACCGCACCGCACCGCTGCGTGCCCCATCGCCCGCTCCCTGCCCGGACCGCGGACTCCCACCGCTGTCTGCTCCCCAGGGCTTCGTGTTTTGTTAAAATGAGAAATTTAAAATAAATAATTTAATGTGTAAAAATTAAGCGGACGTGAGGGAGATGAGCAGCTGTAGCCATTTTGGAGAGCTGGGTGTGAATGCAGCGGGGGGGCAGAAGGTGGGGGTCGGCAGTGGCTGGAGGAATGGGGCTCTGCTCAGCAGCGAGCCCTCGGCCAGGCTCAAGGAGCAGCAAGCTGTAGGCCAGGCTGAAGGAGCAGCGAGCTGTAGGCCAGGCTCAAGGAGCAGCGAGCCCTCGGCCGGGCTCAAGGAGCAGCGAGCCCTCACCCAGGCTCAAGGAGCAGTGAGCTCTAGGCTGGGCTCAAGGAGCAGCGAGCCCTCGGACAGGCTCAAGGAGCAGCCAGCCCTCACCCAGGCTCAAGGAGCAGCGAGCCCTCGGCCGGGCTCAAGGAGCAGCAAGCCCTAGGCCAGACTCAAGGAGCAGCGAGCCCTCGGCCGGGCTCAAGGAGCAGCGAGCCCTCGGCCGGGCTCAGCAGCACCCGCGCAGCTCCTCCGCGGGAGCAGCGAGCTGTAGGCCAGGCTGAAGGAGCAGCGAGCTGTAGGCCAGGCTCAAGGAGCAGCGAGCCCTCGGCCGGGCTCAAGGAGCAGCGAGCCCTCACCCAGGCTCAAGGAGCAGTGAGCTCTAGGCTGGGCTCAAGGAGCAGCGAGCCCTCGGCCGGGCTCAAGGAGCAGCAAGCCCTAGGCCAGACTCAAGGAGCAGCGAGCCCTCGGCCGGGCTCAGCAGCACCCGCGCAGCTCCTCCGCAGAGCCAGCGCTGAGCCAGCCGAGCTGACCGCACCGAGAGCAGGGCAGGGCAAGGAGAGGAGCCAGGGCCGGGATCCACCGCCCCGGGAGGCAGAGCGGTCCCGGTGAAGGCAGCCCGGGCACACACAGCCTCTACGTGCGCTCGGGCACAGCCACCCACCGCTTCGGGCTGCAGATTGTGCTGCCCTTGCATACAGCATCCCTCAGGACACACAGCATTCCTCCTGAAACAAGCTTGAGCTTAATGACAAAAATCCTCAAGGTCTTAATACCATCCTTGGGGTGATACTGAAGCGCGTTTGTTGTTTTGTTCAGGTTGGGACACGTTATTTCTGTGGCTGCCTTTCCTCACGGCTTTGTAATTTTGTTAGGCTGTCCCCCCCGAGGCAGGCATGAACTAAATGGGTGTGTGTGGAGGCTTCAGAGCTGTTATCACACCGCGTGTCCTGCTGGGGTGAGGAGCTGCAGAGGCAGCGCTGTGCTCAGGAGTTATCTGGCTGCCTGTGCCTTTGGCCTGCAGAGATAGGCAAACACAGGTGTGGGGAGGGGGAAACACCACTGCAGTGAGGGGCCAAACAGAACATGGAGGAGGGTTCAGGAAGCAGCAGTCTAAATCCACTTACTAGTGAGAAATCAGCAATAATTCCTCTTTTAAGATGAAAATTGTCGACTTAAGCAATGGAGTTAAGTTTGGTTTTTTTTTTTTTTTCGTAAAATTCACATATAAGCAATGGAGTTAAGATTTTTTTTTTTTTCGTAAAATTCACATGCCAATTTTCTTTACCTTGTCAGGATGTCTTTTCATTTACCTACACAACTCCATCCTGCGTGCCAAGTTGTCTCCAAGTGATATAATTGTCTCCAAGTTGACTTAGAGTAAACTCTTAAGTTTTTTTGTCTGGCCAGCTGGTTTCAGACCCCCACTGGCAACAGAAGCATTGTAACTATGTTGGCTCTGCTTGGGCATCACCTGACGCTTTAAAACTTCAGTTAACAAAGTACAACTTCTGAATTGCTTCTAGAAATTAAGCCACATGAAAGAAAGGGTGGTTTGTTGGTATGGATTTTTTAGACAGGGAGAATTGCATGCTTATCTGCAGGTGATGATGCCTCCAGCAATGAGGAAACAGCAGCTGAGATCAGGAGGATGTTTGGTATCCCTTCCTTCACGTGTGTTTGTGTGTGTGGTGGGTGACTCAGAGCAAGGACTGGGTTACTTTGCTCTGAGACCAGACTCCTACTGCTCTCCAATGTTAGGCTGTCACAGCTGAGGGCAAACACAAGAGATTAAGTGTATCACTGTTGGTGCAGTGCTGGGGAAAATTCCTTTTCTTTCAGGGAACTGTCCAAGATCCAGCTCCTTGTGCAGCCCCTAGAGCTGAACGGCTTCTCCAGGTGCCAGAGTGCAGGTGCTGGGTCTGTGGAGGTGGAAGTCACCTGTGACCACCTTCTGGACAGTACTTAATCCTTATTAACTCTCCATGATTTCATCTGAAGTATTAATGGTTAGTTTGCTTTATCTTCTAAGGAGCTCAAGTGACTTTACATAACTGTGTCCTTTTCTACATTAGCAAGCTTTGTTGTCCACTGCAAAGAGAGTGAAGGAGGGAGATGATGTGGTGGTACTGAGAGCCACCATGTCCCTGTGCTGTTCTGGAGCAGAGCATTTGTCACTGGCACAGATGGCATAGCTCAAAACTGGGTTTAGTTAACTCTGCTTTTGGTCATGACTGCTTCCAGCTTGAAGCAAGGGCCACTGGCGTTGTTTGAGAGTTTCTCTGAAAGAAATATCATACAATTCTGAGCCCTGGGATAGGAGAGAGGCCCTTTGTTTCATCTGCTCTCCCCGTGAAACATCTTTTAGTCACAGTCTCTGGGCTTAGTGAAACCTTATCCTTATGTTTTATTAAAAAAAAATTTTTTTTGCAGCTGGCGTGAAGCAGCAGGTAGTGAGGCACAGCCAGAAATGGAGCTCAGGGGGCTGGGCACTGCAGCAGCTCACCCTCCTGTCCTCAGCCTTAAGAACAAAGAAAATCCAACAAAAACATCCATCTGCAAGGATTCCTTACTGCTTGGTGTTGGTAAAAAGGTTCAGAGTGACCTCCCCCTGTCCTGCTGGGCAGTGAGATGTGGCTCAGTGTCAGCCAGAAACCTCCACTCCTCTTGGCAGAACAAAAGGGAAGGCAGCCTGTAACCCTGCCCTGCTGCTGGGCAGAGCCTACTGGGCATCAAACAGCCCTTTCTGTGCTTTTGCTCTTCTGCTCAACCGTGTTTATCCTCCCCCACAGCATTTTTTTCAAGGTGGGAAGGCACACCTTGGCCTTTGTGTGCAGCAGCTGCCCCAAAAAAAAGCTGTGCTGCAGGGTGCTGACTGTGCACAGGACTTCAGTGTTCTTAAAAGCAAAGCACATTAAATCACTGATAAACCAGGGCAAGCACTAACAGGAAAACTTGCTAGAAATCTTGGGTTTTGCCCAAAATCTTTGTAGCCAACCACTGATGAGGTTGTTGAGATTTTGTCCAGATTGGTGAGGTGTAGTTAATCTGGCAAGTGGAACTAGGAACAGATTCATGGGGGAAAAAATAAATCTGATAATTTATTTGCATTTAGGAGAACCCAGCGGGAGGGAAGAGTGTTCAAGGTGAATACTCACAGTTTCTGCCTGGGATGTTTGACCCTTGCTTGTGCTGGGATAAACTGAGCAAGCAGGGTCGTCCATTTGGAAAATGTTTGACTTAGTCCTGTGCCTTTCTCAAAAATAGTTAAATTGGAAAAATTGCTGCACTTACAGGCCTTGGAAAATATTTTTCCCTACATGTGGCTTTGTGGTTTCAAAGAACTGAAGAGAAGGCCACAAAAATACATTTTTCCTTCAGCTGCTTGGCAAGGGAAATCATCTGATGGGGCTTATCAGAGCAACGTGGCTGGGGCAGGCCTGGACTGCCTGGGGACACCATTCCTATTGACTGTGTTTTTTCACAGGTCACATTCCTCCTGCTCTAATGGGAGCCAATATTTTTTACCTCTGGATGACAATAATTTGAAGATGAGTAAATCAATTGGATTTTTGTTCCTCAGCTTCATTGGAAGGTTTAAGCTGTTGGGTACTTTGTTAAATTCCTTGGAAATTGGCCACATGCAGGATTGCGCTGCATTCAGTTCAGCCAGATAACACAATTCTTTCTTAAAGGTATATTTGCAATCTTTACTCAAATTATAAGTGTGCAGGAGAAGAATAAAAGGCAGAAACCAATAGGTGAACCAGCAAGAAAAAGTTAATACAATTATTAATGTAGTCACCTTGTAGTCACTGCTCATGCTGTACCTTTTTTTTTCCTTTCTCTGAACTGTTTCTTTTGTCAAGAGTACAAGATCTTAAAAAATCAGGTGTATCCTTGTCCTGAAGCATAGGAGCACGTTAAGGTACCACAAGACTGGGGACTTAAGATATTTGGGAAGCCTTATCTTTTTTGAGCAGGAATTCTCATCTCCAGTCTGGTCAGACCCCAAGAGCTTGCCTGGCCTTTCTCAGGCTCTTTGGAAGAGGCAAATCTTGTTATGTGCATTGCTGGAGTGCTTGTTGTGCTATTTTTATGCTGCTCAGTTTTTGTGTGTGCAGCTGTAGTCAAGTGTTGCTTCTTGATCCCAGACAACTGAGACTTTCCATAACCTTTGACTAAGAAAAAATGTATCTTTAATCACAGCTCCCCTTCACAACAGGCAGCATGTAAGAAGATTATATAAATATTATATTAAGCACATTTTTTGGCAAATTGCTTGCACTGGTGTTGCATTTCTTTCCACCAGTGTCTAGGTGATAGAAGAAATAAATGACGAGCTTGGGCCATAAAGGAAATTAATACTCTGGTGTGTGTCTCTTCTGACTTGGGGATTCCTCATCAATTAACTGCCTTGTTAAAATAACTCTGACAT